CCTCCTAGATTTATGCAATAGTAGCTGACAATAGTACAATGGTGTTATTACGTTGAAACATACAGAGCAAAACCAGGAGGAACTTGGGCTTTTTTTTTTTTTTTTAAAACAGAGACTACAAACCTCTGAATGCCTCAAGTTACATTGTCAGATGCAGCCACAAACCCTGCTCAAGCCAATCAGAGCGGCGAGGAGGAGCTTCCAGGCAGCGGCTTGAAAGGACGATGTAAGCGTATCGATCACAGCACACATGACCGAGCACATGTTGCAACCATCCTTCCCCAGCATTTCCCTGTTTCCATTATAAACTGTCCACATTGCTTTTACCACTGTGTGCAGTAAAAGGATTTGCACTTAGAAAAAAAAAAAAACACATAAATTATATGGTGCAGAAAAAGAAGAGCAGGCATGATTCATCTTGTAAAAGCAGGTGAGAGATCCTTTGCTCTGCATTAACATATCATACATATGAGCGAGGGGAAAAAAACACATCTGTAATATGAAATGTATATAGAGAAATATTTTGTAGCTCTAAGGGAGAGAGAAACCTCTCCCTTTAAATATTACATAATACAAATAAATAAATAACTAAAATTGTTAGGTCTTTTAAGAGCCAATCAATTGCTGGTTTTTCTGTTTCAAGAGGACAGCCTAAAGAGGAATCCAGGAAGTGAATGTGCTTTAATCAAATTGGAGCGATTACAGCGGACAGAAAAGATCTAGAAGGTTAAAGCAGTGTTGGGGTACATGTCTTGTGAGACATGCAAATGTTCTATATTAATCTTAGTTTTATATTTCAATCACTACTTCTGCTCCATTATTACAGGACATTTTGCTTAAAACATGAAAAAAATCTAATCTGTTTCATGCTTACCGGCAAAATGAAACCCAAATTGGTGCCTTGTGCTGTATTCAAATACTCAGCCGGGTAATAAATTCAACCTTAATGTAGATTATGTTAAATTTATGTTGAGCATTTGTAGCCTGTGCTTTGGTTGGACTCCACGGCACAATATTTTCAAAGGTTTTCGTTTACAGCGTTCTTGTATTAGATTAAATAATATTGTCAAACTTAATCTGCAGTTTATTATGTTATAAAACTGTCACCTGTATTGGATTATTGTCACCATTTGTGACACACAGTATAGCATAAAAAGCAATTTCCAGTTATTTCTTTAGTGGCTGGACATAAATACTAATGGTGGAACAAATGTGAATAAGAAATCGTACAACGCTTTCGTAAATTGAACTTTAACATGTGGACAGGGATGTTTCACTTTCAAGAAGATGAAATTGAAACTGAAGATGAAAAAACCTTTTTGTCATAATTACTGTAACTACTTATTGCCACAAACACTGAAACAACACTACACTGCACAGGCAGGAATGATTGAACTGTTCGCTTGTAATTACACTGTGACTCCTACCAAATTGAATAACTAGTGCTGAATACAATAAGAACAACCTTGTTATAGCAGACCCAGAGGAATAATAGTCCTGTAGGGCTTATGTCAATAAAAAAAATATTACATCTTCTACACAGCTATGCACACATCTGCGTGAATATGCATGACTGAGTTGTGTCTGCGTATGTGTGAGTGCAGTGCTGGATAAATGCTGCACCCAATTAAACAGCCTGCACAGGAAAGATGTGGATCAACAGCATTAGGCGATTTATCTTGTGAAATGAAAGCATTGGCCTCTGACCTTCTGACAACAAATGAAAAAGGAGGACCTGTGATTTATGGCATAAACGCTGAAATCATCCTGTGCTTTTGAAAAGAGACGCTTCTCTGCATCCCACCTTGCAGCTCTCCCCCCAACACTATGCATCAGCCTGCACAGCCCTGATTACATAAACCCACCTGGACAAAGTGTAACAAACAAACACACACACACACACAGACACACACACTCGTAATGAGCTCTACAACCCCCAACCACTGCACAGACCATGTATTGAGCTTTTCAGTCATTTCTAGGCATTTCTCCGAGAAGCTGTGTGACTGCTTCTTTGTCACCTGACCGGATGCAGCTCCATAAAAGGACAGTCGGTAGTGAGGCAGTCTTAAAGAGGCAGTTCCACATCAACACGCACTGTAGCCTTAACTAACTGCAAGAGGGGGTGAGGAAGCAAGTCTTACAAGTCTCTCTCAGGCATCGTTACATCTGAGCAGAATCAACTTGTTATTCAACAAACAGCTAATATTGAAAGGAATAAATCCCAGAGTATAATGCAGGGGAATCTTTACAGTTATGCTTCTGCAGCTCAATGAATCATAGCTTTTGTGATGTGTGAGAATGCACAAAAGGAGGGTGGGATGTGCACAGCAAATGATGACAGAACACAAGATAGGAAGAGAAAGAGAGAATGAGAGATACTCATAGGCGAATGTAACATGCAGAGAAGCCTCCACGAAGCTCTCTTAGCGATGCAGATGCAGAAAACAAAAGCTACACGGGTAAGACTCCTATTAATAGGCCTCAGTGGCAGAGAACAGCTGCTCCACCACACACACCAAACACAACATTAACTGACGGAATAATGAGGGAGAGGAGTCTATACATGGAGCAAAACTGAAAGAAAATGGAGGACAGGGAAAGAGAGGAATGGGGTAAGAAGATGGACACAAGGTGAGGTGTAAAGATTTGTTCACATGCAGCAAAAAGACAGAACGAAATAAACAGAGTAAATGTGTTGAAAGTCGGTGGTTAAGAGACGAGCTGCAACGAGACAGGAAGGGGAAAGCAGTTGGTAAAAGGTGTTGCACAGGTCTATGACAGACACCATAACCAAGCAGAAATAAAGCTTAGGTACCCTGTGTGTGGGCAGAAATGCGATGACTAGAGGGGGCATTACTGAAGCATGGTGCTGAACAGAAGGGGGAGTAAAAATAGAGAGAAGAAAATAGTGAGATGCTGAGAAAAAAAAAAGAGAAAACAACAAAATGCTTCTGAGTCCACGAGTGCATTGGAATGCAAAATGAACTCAGTGTGATTACCCATTCACCTTGCCACAGAGAGCAATGCATCTGGAATTAGTGTGTGTGTGTGTGTGTGTGTGTGTGTGTGTGTGTGCTTGTTGAGTGTGCATCATCACGACGTGCTTGATGCGTGTTTGGTGTGAAAGCAGGGCAGAAAAAGAGAGAGAGAGAAAGAGAGAGAGAGAGAGAAGAAAAAAGACACAACAACAAAGACACAAATTAAAAGAGGAAAGAAAAAAAGACAGGATGACAAACAGAGAAGCGAGGAGAGAGAGAGAGAGAGAGAGAGAGAGATAGAGAGTAAAACAGAGTCAGAACAGTCTGTGGGGATGCAGGCGGGGGAGGAATGTGGTTTCCATGGCAACCTGAGGAAGGCTGAGCTCTGGGTGTCCGTTCCAGCTCTGCACTGCACCGGCCCTCGCCTCTCAGCCGCCTTGCTCTCTCTATCTCTTCTCTTCTCTCTTTCTCTCTCTCTCTCTCTTTTCAGCCTCCCCCACTATATCTTCCTCCTAACAGCCCCCTCTTCACTCCCTCTCTCTCCCTCCACCCTGTTACATGCGCCTCCTCAGCTTCCTCGCCTCCTTCATGTGATAGAGGGAGTCACACACACACACACACACACACACACACACACACACACACACACACACACACACACAGCCAGCTCCGCGTTTCCCACCCTGGAGTCAACCTGTACTGTCACTGTATTCTTACGCAGACATGATCACGTTTAATCTATGTGCTGACAGCCAGCATCTTCCTCTCTTTTACCCCTCAAAGCCCACTGATCCTCACGCCTCCAACCACCTAACCAATGCACTAGTTCTGGGCTGAGCTGAAAAGCTACCGCCTGCGGACACTGTGCTTTCCATGTGCCACTGGCCGTGTTTTAGTGGGAAAGGCATGTGAACACAAGGGCTTTCACCCATGTTTCTGTCATGAAACATGCAGACTGTGCTCGATGCTCGTGTAAGTAGCAGGTCGACTGTCATTGTTAAAGACAATACTCAACATTTTAGGAAATGTGCATCCTCACTCCTCTGTTAGGATTTTAAAGAGCCGATTGATACCATTTTAATGTCTTTGTGCTTTACAGTATATAAAACTAGAGGTAGCTGGTGGATAGCTCTGCTAAGCATAAAGCCTGGGAACAGGAAGACACATAAAAAACAATCGGACTAGCAGCAACTCTAAAGCTGACCTAATAACATATTGAACCCACTTTGATAAATTAAGAAAAATAAAATGGACAAGCCTTCGCCAACTAGTGAAGTTGCAACCATATGTCTTTACTTAAGAAATCTGTATTAAAGACTTTGAAGAAATACAGCAAACTGTATTAAGGGTAATGCATGTATCTGGTCTGATTAGAAGACATTTCCTCAAGGTGTGCCTGATTAAATGTGTTCATGAGACATTAACATATATTGCCATATTTAAAAGTAAAAGTTCTTACTATGATCAGCTAATAGACAGAACTATAAATGTGTATTTCTTAGGTTAAGAGGTACTAGTTGTATGGATTCTGTTAGTCATGTTAGCTAGCAATTTCAATGTTGCTCCCAGTTTTTATCAAGCTAAGATATCTAGCCGTTTGTAGGACTGATTGCATCTCTGATATGCAGTCCAAAGATGATTCAGTAATCATCTTTGGACATTGCAAAAATATGTATGAAACATGTTTGAGCTTCAGATTATTATTATGAGCCGTCTGAATTGAGGTGATTCCATTTTTTTTTTAAATTGATCAAACTAAATGTTTTTAAATCAATACCTGGACTCCCCCGACCCTTTTTTGATTAAGCAGGCACCTCTCAACATGAAACAAAATGATCCAAAGGTCATCAACCTTCAAAAACAAATGTTTGATGAGGCTAGTGTGCATCTATAATACCACACTGAACTGTCATGAGGAATATGTCAGGTCATCATGAGCATCACTGGCTTCATCCTCTTAATGCCTCAGAACAATAATCAATGTAAAGTTGTGTCAGGATGATCAAATGTTTTACTTACATTTGGGACTTCCACATGGGAACGAATCACAAAGCCAGAAACTCGCTCCACTTTGTGAGGGCTCCTCCTACTGGTCACTCGCACCAGAGACACACCCTCCTCCTCTGCGTCCTCCTCTTCCTCATCCTGGTCCTGTGGGACACAAACAGATACTTTTTTTTCCAGATAAGACTGAATGGAATCAGATTTTTGAAAAATCCAAAAGCGACATTCAGGACATACTCGTGATGCTAAGGATAAATGTCATCATCGAATGAAAAACAATCTCACATCTGTTCAACAGTCATAGCTTTATAAACAGATTAAAGGGGACCTATCGTGCTCTTGTTTACAGCTCTGTATTTTTATCCTGGGAGTTAGTGAGAGCAGTTTTGTATGATTCACAGTTTTTAAAAAACATGTATAAACATGTATTTATTTATACTTCCCCTTCAAGCAGCACCTGAGTTCATGATGTCTAAAAAAAAGTCATGTAAGCTCCCGTCTTTTAAAGCTAGCTTTCCTGAAACCTGTGTGAAAGGCTTTCTATTGTATCTAAAAAAAATAAAGATGAAGACACGAAACGACTTAATGATATCATTTATTTTCTTGACAGAGACGGCGACTGGCAACATCCATCTGTACAGATTTGACTGCCTGACTGAAAGAAAGTGGACAACATGAAAATGTGCAGCTTTAAAGATCACAGCAGCATGCCTCTGTTTAGAAAATATTACCAGTGTTACCTGCCTGTTGTGTGACATCGCAGTTTACTGGAAGTCTTTTAAAATCAAACTGAATGGAAAATGTCAAAGTACCAAAAAATTCAAGGAACAAAAGGGACATTGCTAGTCAAAACAGTAGCTATTAGACATAACTTCCTTTCTATGAATACAAATGCTAAATGACTTGAATTATCTCTGACTCTCTCTCTCTCAATGCATCTCTCTTTTCCATTTTCTGTCAAACACGGTGCTGGTGTCAGCAGACGGCTATCCACCAATAAGTCCAGTTCTGCGCTATCATTCTGCCTGAGTTATTAAGTTATCAGTTGTTTTTATGATTGTATAAATGAAATACCTTCTACAAGACTATTACTGGGAGTATATTCACATTCATATACCAAGGGCATCATGATTTACAAGGCTTGTCTTCTCACTTTTCATCAGCAAAGTGATGCAACTCCAGAAATATTGAGAATCAGTAATGGTTTAACACATTCAAATCAGACACATGTACATGAAAAGGTTTTTTCCGATCCAAATGCTGATTACATTCTATTAATGAAATCTACCTGCCTGCTAAAACAAAGCCTCTTCTCCTCTGACCTCTTACATTTCTTTTCCAAAGGAGCTATTCTCAACTCTCACCTGCTACATTGCTCCAAATCAGGGAATTTGCAGACTCATTTATTTTTTCTCCCATCCTCCACCGCAGGTGACAGCGTGGCTAGAATACTGATGAAAGAGTCCATTAAGGAGCTCTCTATTTATCTATTGCTTTCTCTATCTCTCTCTCCTTCTTTCTCTTCAGGACTGTGCCAGTGCCCGACAAGCAGTTGGAATCCAGATGAGGGGATGGAAGGAAAGATCAGGAGAAACGTTGCTCTGAATTAGAGGCTACACAGGGTGGATCAGGGAAGGAGCGGGGAATTTAAAATAACAGTGTAAAGTTCTAGCTGTAGCCACAGTTTGTGGTTCAAGTCCTCTGCTGCGGGCGTGCAAGATAATGGACATACAACCGAATATTATGAAAAGAGACACAGATGTTGTTGCCAATAAAAGGATACTTGAGCTCGTCTAATACCAGTAATAGGGCTGTAATTGTTCCACCATAGGACTTATCAAACACGTTAGAGGTCAAAATCATTGAAAACATATTTTTACATCCTTTTTTTAAATATTGCTAACTCAGATGTTATACTGCTTAATATGTCATCATGTCCTGAACACAGTGTCATAATGCAGAAGAATCCTTCATGTTGAAAATGATGTCACTCTGCTCACTAAAGCGAGTCCAGGAGCTGACATGCACTGGTCAACAAAGTCTTTTTGCACTAAAGCTTCTACTTAATACAGTCTAGTACATGTCAAGTTTATTGTAGTGAGAGCAGATAATCCTGTTCAGACAGAGCACACGACTTTCAAAAACATATTGCCATTAAGTGATTGAGTGGAGGGCAGGGCTGTGAAGCATGAAGGAATAATGTTAGATTAAAGTTTTTTATCTCATGTGAGGATTGAAAAGGCAGACAGAGCCAGCTGCCCCCCGGTGGTCAATGGTCACACGGGGGATCACTGTATTACATGAAGCATTATTGTGCAGCTCACAGTTATTCAAGTTCAAATTCCATAATGAACAGGGATTGACCATACCCTCCTTTTTTTTTTATCAAACTCAGAGTGTTTAACAATGTTACTCATAGTAAGGCTAGGAGTTATTCATTAATAGGGGTGTGTCTGATCTGACTGACAGCCGTGTGTGTCGTAGCTGTTTGAAAGGAGACTGGCCAGCCTCTGCTGGAAAGTTAATAAAAGACAGCTTTTCCCATATTGTGACAGGAGACCGCAATTGTTGTGCTTCAGAAGTCTGCTTCAGAAACCAATGGGTCACACCATAAAATCCGAGACAGGGTCAGGGACCTACAGAGCAGGTCATATGTCTTCCCTCCTCCCCATGTTTCCCAGCAATGTTTCCTACACTACTAAATAAAATGAATACATCAACTAGACACATGACAAGTGTATTTTTTGTCTTTCTCTAGTAATGAAAAAAAAACCTCTTTCAGATGTTTTGATGCACAAATAATTTAACAAAGTAATTTCTTATTTTTCAGCAGAAGGTTCCAGTTGGTTGACAGATCAGAGCTGGCCATTGTGCCTAAGTTGAACTGTGAAAATTTGATTATTAAAGATTAAAGTCCTTTTTCATGGCTGTTTTTTTTTTTTTTTGCACAACCTTGACTCTATTCCACTGTGTATTCCACTATGTACAAACACAGGCACATTCATCAGGAGCTAAAGTGTCGTTCTCATCTGTGCTCACAAAGCCATCATCATCATTCAGTTAATTGGTTTGAAGAATCAGACAAAGATCAATTTCATTTACATTTTGTCATAGCTGAAGGACAGCAGTGAGGTAATGTTAAATCAGGAAAGTAAAATCTTAAGTTTTTTTTTACCTCTTACTTAAAACTATAAGTATAGTGGTCTGGAGCAGAGCTCTGTTTTAGTCTAAATATACATACGTATGTGAAGGAGGTTTACATCAGGCTTGCAAGATATGACATAACTGTGTCATATGTGATTACATTGTTAAATATTGCGATCACAATATAAAGTGCAATAAAAACAATGAGTGTGTACATTAGCTAAAAATCACATTGTTTATGTATATCTGCTTTTTTCATGTTTTTCAAAATACCCACGTTTACAAATGCAAAAATAATTTTGTTCCACCTCTGAATTAGCATCGATCGATCTGAAGGTAGCTAGCTGCTGGCTATCTTAGCTTCATCTGTCTGGATCAAGAAGGTGTGAAAGCATAGCCGTCTACTAAATGGATAATAGCTACGCATGCTGAGTGAGAATGCATTGCTCGTCAACATAAATCTTTTTTTTTTTCTTATTTACTGGGAGAAATTCTTACTTTTGCCATGTGATAATTGCAAACCTGTCATTGTGATAACTCTAAAAATCTTTATGAGAGTGAACAGCACTCGTTTGATTCTGTCTAATTCACTCTTCTCCTTACACCAATGTGTCCCTTCCTTCCAACCTTTTTTGTCTCTCATCAGACATCCACTCACCAGGTGGAAGTCACGGCTGCCTGCCATGACTCATGATAGCATTTAATCCATGTAGGAGTGCGAGGGACACAGGTAGTGACACCTCCTGTTTGCTGCCAAGTAGCCTTTTTTTTTAATACAGCACAGCAGCACGTGTAACACCAGATATAATGTAAACATAAGCATAGTTTCAACAATCTATAATGTGAAGAAGGAAAATTACCTCCCACGCATTCTGCCTGCTGTCTTCTTTCACAACAGTTTGTTCCTTGTTTAGTTGCAAGGTCACCTCGTAACACTCTTGAATATCTGTGAGAAAGAAAACAATAATGAGCATTTTTTTTTTTTTTACCCTTCACTTGGATAATTATAAACAAATGATGCAAGTGCTTTTTTTTAACACTATAATCTTTATTTCTAGATATATCGTCTCAGGGTCTAAAAGTCTGCTGCTTTGGCTGTGTAAAAGAATCCACCGATCAATCATGGGAACATATAGAGACGTCTTTTTTTTCTCAGTGATGCACTGGGTGAAAACCTGGGGGTGGGTGTCGTCTGTTTTTTATGGAAGTTATGTCTCCATATTTGAAAGTGCTCGTCTATCTTGATGCTGAACTATATTAGTCATGACTGAATTACTCATCACGTCACTGTCTTAGAGGCCCTATATCATAGATGATCATACTACCTGCATCACAAAAACAAAAGTGTTTCTACCTATTCGATTTATTTTGTTTTACACATCATAGACATTGTGTGTCATTTGCCTTGTAGTGTTTAAACTCATTTAGGGTGAGGTTGAATGAGTTCCTCTTAGGCCTGAACGATATGTGATGTGCGATAACATTTTTCAACATAGCACTAATAGGGGTCTGCGGGTTAAGATCAGTTGGTAGAGCAGCATGTTCAGAGGCTGCAGTCCTCATTGCACTAATCACAGGTTGACTCCCACTCCTGCTGTTCAGTGCATGTTATACCCCCACTCTCTCTTCCCATGTTTTCTCTTTATAGCACTCCTATCAAGTTAAGTCGCAAAAAAAAACTGTGACAACAATTTGGGTGGGATAAACAAACAATGAAAGAGTGCACATTAAATATAACCAGGGCTGTACAAGAAATCCCAATTGTATCATTCATTTTAATGCAGTCAGTTGAATCTGGAGCTAGACATCAGCTACCCTCAGAGTATTTGTTACAAATGTTGTGGTAAAAAAGAGGCTTGACTCATTTTGGATTCCCAAGAAAAATGTTGCAAACAGCATAATCTGAAGCTATGCTGATTCTTTAGTGTTACTTTATTCACCACACTTCACATCATTAACACAAAATCGAAAAAATAGTATTAGGCATCATATATTTTTCCCATCGTGCAGGCCTAAGATAAAATAGAATAGATAAAAAAGTTCATTAAGATTATATAAACTCAATGCATTTGCTTGGAATAACTTCCTGCATCTCATGAATGGAGGCTATAGTCCTCCAGGCAGGTGAGGTGACCCCGCCCGGGTTCAAATCCAACCTGTGGATTCCTTTATTTTTAAATCCAAAATAATGGAATTTCAAACGTGCGATTAAAAATGTAAATCATCGCAATTAACTATTGACATTTCACAATTAATTTCATTTCAATTAATCACTATTAAAAATTGTAATTGTTTGACAGCCCTGTTTGACAACTAAAATTAACATTTAGAAATAGTGTGAAATTGAAATAAAAGGTTTGTGGTATTTAGCATGTAAAACATTTACCACTGAAACTATTTTTATTAAATGCGTAATCATGCTAAGATTAACTGATAAGCTCTCAAAGCAAAAAAACAGCTATTGTTATACAGATTTATGATCACTGGAATCATTACGTCTGAACTATTGAACAGGCTTGATGGAAATGAAAAGATCAACACATTTATCTCCAGAGTAGAACATCAATGCTTGTAATGATTTCATTTCAACACCCTCAGTTCAGCTCACAAACATAAGTGACACTGCTCTCACTAAAGCCGTGCAGCAATGAGGCAATGATGTAATAACAATATCTCATATAAGTCGGAAAACTTGGCTCTTCAAAGGAGGAAGGTGGCAGAGATCACATTGGGTGCCCCTTCCTTTAGTCAATGGGGTAAACAAATGTAATGGAGTTCAGTTTCTTTTTATCCTGAACTGCTCTACTTGTTTCTCTCTGCCTCCACTCATCACCTCTTGGCTCATTTCTCACCCATGTCCCGTGGTCACCTATTGAGTGGCAGCCATTTGATGAGAATGCACTGGGACAATTTTGCTGATGTCAAACACGGGCCTGCTTACTGCACTGTTGACACAAAGAGGTTGTTGGAGAGTTCATCAACTTCCCGAAGTTCAATGTCAGGACAAGATGTCCAACGAGACACATTTTGAGAAGGACGCCGATAAGAAAGTGAATATTTTGCAATGTGTATCCTTTTGGTGGAAACAGACACTTCTACATCCAAAGTGTATGTGTGTGAGACAGTGAGATAAGAGTCACTATGTCCAAACAAGACACAGTGAGAACAAAAGTGTAAGAATGGAGCATGTGACTCATCACTGTGTCTGAATGTGGAGGAGTGGAGCCATGTGTGGGCAGAGGAGTTTGTTGCACAGCTGACTAAAGAGCAATCTCACTTACACAAACTTTTATAAAGATGCAGGTACACACAGGCCTAACTGTGCATACACTTATGTACGGCATATAAATACCTTAAATGACACCTAGTCCGACTCATTATTGCTAATTAACCACCTAATTGAGATTCACAACAAACTGATCGTCTACTAAAAAACATCACGATTTATGAAAAGTCTTCTCTATTAGTTCATGAACAAGACAAAGTAATGGCCTAATGAATACGAAATGCATGGAAGTAGAATCTGGTTTAGGTCCAGTATTACATTTAAAAACTAATACACCTAACAGAAAACAATTATAAAAAACACTGCCGCCTTTTTACAAGACTGAAATGTTGCAAACAGGGCTTTCTTTAAGCCTTCAATAAGCCTGTAGTAAATGCTTATCGCCAGGAGGGGGCAGATGTCAACAAATATCACATGAAGGTGACAAGGCAAGTGTGTTGACAAACTGTTACACATCAATCAGACAAGTAGCAACCTTAGCATTTGATTGGAGATGTGTTTCTGCCCACATGTGAAATGTTTGCCTGTTATTCACTTCTCTATTTTTTGGGGGGGAGGGGGGGGGGGGGTTGACTATAAATGCTAACTCAAAAGCTCAGCACTTACATTGTTTATTTGTAGTTTGGTGCTGGGAAGGTAGTGTATAGTGTGTTTATCAGAGCTAGCCAGCTACTGTAGCCTGAAACAAGGATGATAAAGGGTTTTAAGAGAGAAACTAAACGTTGCAGGCGTTAAAACCCAAAACCTATGAGCTGCAAGATGCTACAAAGCTTTTGCTATAGAGTTAGCAGATAACTCTCAGTCACTAAATCAGTTTGAGTGACATTCTGCACATATACGATTAGTCATTTGACCAGTTGCTCATGTAAAAATACAGGAGGTTTCAGATGTTAAGAAGTCTCATAAACATTTCATCTGTTCAGTCTCGAAGGATTTGCTCTTCAGCTGCATCATGGACACCTGGCTTGCTTTCACACAACTAACACTTCTAATTACATCGCTCGTCTATTCCTGGCAAAGGCAACAAAATACAGAAAAGATGCCTAATCAGTTCTGAAAGTGCAATGCAATCAGGATTCACAGTAGCACAAAGGATCTGCAACTTTCCCCAAATATGTATTCGAACCGGTCCAACCCACAGAGACCACATAAATTCCTGGGCACATAATGCATAATCCAAGCCAGAAGTCTCTTTCACAGGACTTATTCCCATATCTCTTTTTGATGTTGGGACTATTTTGGGACAGCCCCGTTGGAGCTCTGAGGCTTTTTGCCACAGTCAGAGGGGGTTTCCTCCACCTTCTCTTTGTCCTACAAAAGATGCTACATGCAGCATCAGCATGTTTGTGTGTGTGTTGTAGTAGGCCTCTTCTATTTGTCATGAACCTTTTTAAATGGACTGAAGTCATCTCTCTTATTGCCTGCCTGCGGTGAATCATGCAACAAAAAAAAAAAGAAAAAGAAAAGGAATGTGCCCCTGGTTCTTCATATGAAGATGAGCAAACCCACACCTCACTAGAATAACACATTCAAAGAAAACTAGGTCACAAATTCAAGGCAGGGTAAACAATTCACCCCCTTGTTTCTGCCTAAATAAAGTATTCCCCCAGGCATTAAGAGTCCTCTGTGATTTAACGTGTGTCTGTCTGCATGTGTGCCCAAACTCCCTCCGTACAGCACCCCTCCCCATGCCTCTGACTGCATGTTTGTATGTTGGAACAAAAGGATGGATGCACTGTTCAGGCAACCTTTGTTCGTGACTGTGCAACCATGCAAACGTCCAATCAGGCGACCAGTACTGAAGCTTCCCACACTGCATCAAACACCTCTTTACTTCCCACAGCGGATCAAAGTTACAGATACCTCTTCAAGACAAATACGTTCTGTTGGTAGATTTCTGTCTTCAGATCATGAAAACAGCAGCGTTTTCAATCTTTTTTTAAAAAAGTTTTAATCATTAAAGATAAAGTTTACAACATCATCAGAAAGCTCAAAACTTTTAGCACACCATCACCTGACAAAGCAACACAACAGAACCACTTCACATGGCCCTGAGAATGCCAGGCCAAACACAACAGGAGAGGATAAGAGGATGAGTAATGTTTGTATTGCACTGTATTCCTATTAGTGCTGTGAACCGGCTGCTCCTCCAATCTGCTTTTCCTGATAAAAACCACATGTTGAATGAAGGGCGAGACTTCATCAAGCCACCACCTAAGCGTCACCAACCACAGGCCTTTTTTTATATTCCTGCACTCTTTCACTCTCTCTTTCACAAAGAGCCAGGAGGGGTTGGGAGACACTTGGCATGGCAGCCAGGAGTATTTTATTTCCCCGTCGGCCTCAGGCTCAGCCCTGATTGAACATTCTTTGTAAGGAATGTTTGGAATCTCGATTTGGGAGCTAATCCTCGAGAGTCAACGTGGTTTAAATTCATAACGAGGTGGATTTCATCTAGTGTTGATAGTTTGATCAATTTAACTGTTTTGAGTAGTCTAGTTTGTGTATTCTGCCCAGGTGTCCTTTACTTAATACTTTCTCATTTGTGCAAAACAATGTCAATACAGGAAAAAAACTGACTGACAGGATTGAGTTTTTGTTTTTTTTGGCTTTGGGTCCTTTGAAAAAGACACACGTTGAAGTGTCTCTAAAGCAAAAAGGTTACCAGCACCCTGCTGAGGGACACTTTGGCATTCTCAATATTTACATGGCTGGGTATCATTTACCTCACAAGTTATTCTAATGAAGGGAAGCTCAAACTCGTTAACATTGTGTACCGCTGATTCTGACAAATATCTTAAAAATGGATTTAGAAAATCAAGACAAGACAAGACAAGAAACTATATTTCAAGATAACACAACTTTTTTGATAACTCTTTAGCTACAGATGCTATGTTAGCATTCAAAACATTCCAACCTAACATTACAGCTAGCCAAGAATGTATGACTTTACTATCATGACCTGTACAACTATTAAAGGGCAATGTTAGTCCCTAGTCAAAGTTAAAAACCTTAACTTCAGATTCCCTGTATGTAACAACCTGGAGCACCGATATTGTACCTAAACTGACAATATCGGGGAAGCTTAAATTATTATCATTGTTATTAAAAATACTCATTGAACTGGAAAAGAATCAGTGTAAACATCCTGTGTTAATGAAAACTATACTCTTCTTCATTAAACGATTGTTTTAGGAGTGGACAGGTCAGTTCATACTGTGTGTACAGTAACTGAACTATACAAAAAAGGCAGACTCAACAGCTAGCTGCTCTCGAAAAACCTTTCTACAGGCAGAATGATGGTTTCAGCTACATGCTACCATTAGCGTGGTGCTAGCCTGCTCACGATGACAGTGCCAAAACGGTGTTGTTAAGCAAGTCCATGCACAATGGTTATCATGCTCACTATCTGTGTGTAGCATTTTAACACGCTAACATTTACCTATTACTGCTACAGAGCACAAAGTATGCTACAAGCTAAGACGGTTTTGTTTGGCGCAGATATTTCAAAATGAGGCCCTTCAGCTCTGATAAAAGGCTCTCTGGCCCCTTTAAGGTATATATGGTTTTAAAACAGATGGTGCCTAGCCTTGCTGTAAAACAGAAAGGAATACGATAAAGTGGGTTACGGATCTAATCAGATACATATAGAACCCATCATACTGTGTTTATTTAACTGCTCCCTGATCAGCCCCTACCCCTCAGCTCCCCCACAGTGAAGCAGCAGTGGGTCAGCAGTAGCAACAGTACACCCAGGGGCAGGCATCATTATAACATGGCTCTGGTAATTAGAAGGACCACTCAACCATCAGTTAAATTGAAGTAATGTGCTTTAAAAAAAAAAAAAAGATTGAGGTTAAGATTCCTATTGGCCTCAACTGAGCTCTTTTCTGAAAGACCAAACTTGTTTTGAAGGTGAAGCTGGTAACTAATAGCACCTCTTCAGTACAAAGACACTTTTTAGGACACTTTCCGGTAAGTACATTAGTGTAGTCAGCAGCAGCTCCAGTAGATTACTCTAATATGATTATTTAGTAAAAGTGAATCAACTAAACAACATAAGTGTATGAAGTATAAGGTACACAGGGCAATTTGTCAAGGGAGTGATTGTGCTTTCATATTACAACTGCATGAACTACAACTCAGTCTATAGCTAGACTGTGCAGACTGGCTTTATTGGGATTTCATTACAATCTTAGTATGTTACTGAGGGGGGTGTACAGGAAACCTTTGTGAGCCAAACTGAAAGGCCCCTTTCATAAAACTTAATTGGAAAACTTTTAGAATCAGTTAACTTGCAATGAAAATGAAAACAACCTGACTTGGTCCACATCCGGTGTCTGCCTGCAGCTGTTTCATGACAACACAAAACAGGGTATAGAAGTTGCACCACAAAAAATACTAACATAGAGCGACAACAGTGTAGCAAACAGGATTTAAAAAATGCATTCCTTTTGCAAAAACAAGGGATGTGACCAAGAAAAGTTCTGAGGTAAGTCCACCCTAAGAAAACTGTGATGTAATTTAAGCAACAGGGTAGAGTTTCGAAAGACTCCCTTCTTCCAAATAAGCAGCTTTACAGTGTTTTTCTTACCAAGAAGGGCATGGAACAGCTGGCTGCCCAAGATGGCGGACACTTTGCCAACGCTGGTCTTCAGCGCGTCCTCCTCTGGACTGGTCAGGTTGGCCTGGTATCGTCTAAGCAGCCCAACTGCCCGCTCTGTGTCTGTCTCACAAAATAAAAACATTTTTCAGGACAACGGAAGCAGAGAACATGTCGGCAGTCAACACTGACAGGGTCAAAAATACTTCTTTTTTTTTTTTTTTTAGAGTTTTGATGAAAATAAAAATGCACTGTCCTGCTTTTAAAAGGATCAAGGAAAGCAATCAAGGAAATTAAATTTGAATTTGAATTACATTTTTTTTTTTAAATCATCCAATATGTACAGGCTGAAACTTTATATTATCAATTCTAAACAGACATTTTAAACATCTTTATTCATCATTTCCACTATGCATGTCCAAATATATATATTTTTAATAAAGCCTGGAGTCCTTGCTGGTTTTCTTAACAATATATTTTTTTCCCCAGCTACAGTCAAAGGAACAAATATATTTAGTTCAGAGTGGAATTAAAGATGAATTAGATTTAAGACAATTACAATTACATAGTTTGAACCAATAAACTATTGCCATTGTTTGCACAAGTTTACTTTGCAAAAATCCTTTTCTTATGTGAGTAACTGCAGCACTGCTCTTTGTTACATCTCTATGCAGAGCAAAATTAAAGATGTTTTTCTCTTCCAACACGACTGTACAGCTGGTTTTTGAACCCTGTGGGTGGTGAGGATCACAGCAGAGAGAGATGGAGTTAAATCTACTACTTCACAGTTTCCTACCTGATCCTGATCCTGAACATTTTTTTTTTATCGACGAAAAAAGAAAAAACCCTCAAAACAGTAATCTATACGAGACTGCACAATGTCGAGATACATTTATTTACCTTTTCAAAGCCTTAAGGACACAAAATATCTCAAGGGATAATAACTGAAGTTTACCAGTGTTAAACCCTGGAGCTAAATTACAAGAAGTAGCCTGCAGAGCTTTCGTTTCCTAAAAACTTTAAACTTTAACCGAGGTTTAAAGTCACGTGAGACACACTTACCATATTTATGCACCATGGTGTGGCCGTCGCGAAACGTCATGTAAAATTACAGCTGGGTGTGTTTTTTTTTTTTTTAGAAGTGAAATAATTACAGCAATAGCCTAGGATAATTCTACCACCAGAACTGCCGCTCCTACTTCACAAACAAAGTGAGATATTGAGTGTAAAATCCTGTCGCTGGACACTCCCTGTCTGTTTCTGCAGCGGTCAGCGGTGGTCCACACCCACCCACTGGAGTTAAGATGAGACTAGAGGAGGAACTGTTGGCTCATGACAACTTTCCAGAAGTTTTTGGCTAAACGGCCCCTGAACGTGACATGTTCCCCCTCCCTCCCTCCCTCACACATGCCTTGCCTTCTTGGAAAGCGGCCCTCTGGCTCAGCCTCGCTGGGACACTGCGATAACAACATTGACACAGCGAGACCGTGCCACCTGCTGCTAACTTAGGATATTTATAACATGACACCATCAATAGTGATCAATCGGTGAGCGAGGCATCATGACCATTTTTTCCTCTTGGAGTGGCCCATGTTTCAAGGTTTTGCACCGAGTGCCATCTAGTGGTCTGTTAAGGTGGTGCCGTCTGCGAAATCACATAGATACCGGGATATGTTTCCAGGTCCTGCACAAGAACGACGAAATGTGTGTGGGGGAAATGTTGTTTTAAAAAAAAAGCCCTTTGTGGCTCCAGAATGAGCTGTGTTGTGTCTGATAATTGCATCCAGTGATTCCAAGTTCATAAATGAGAATATCGTAACATGTAGAAGTTAGTTTACCAAACCTTCGTAGCCCGTTCCTCATCTCTGCTTCCAGATAGCGGCGTCCGCAGCCAAGGTGTATGCCCTCGAACTGCATTGTTGGTAATGTAGGCGCAGAGTTTTAGTGTGAAGAATGTGTAATAAAACAAAATATCTGGTTCTGCAACACTGGTTTTGGTTCATCCTGTAATATAAGGCAACACAAAGCTAAGCAATAAAAACACTTTAAAGTGCCACCGCTCTCGATACCCCACCACAACTGTAATTGTTACATAGGCTACTTGAAATGTATGTTTCTAATAAGATTAGGAGCTGAAGTAGGAAGGCTAGCCTATAATGTTGCATTTAGGTCAGGAACAATATTTAACATGGATATATTTTACTATTTGACATCTCAGTGTTAAATATTCAGACCCAACACATTATCATTGTAAACAAAATGAAGACTAGCCTACTTGATTTTAAACACATAGGCCTACTAAAATTAAACAAGTGAATAATGAAATAGCAACTTTATGTGGACAAGGTGGTTTACGTGTTGCACATTGTACAGTCGTATTATACTATGTAATTAATAGGAGTATACTAAGGCATTAATGTATAGCATATAAAACACTAGGCCTGTATTTGTCTTTTTGTCCCAGTGATGTCCTGGCTCTGGTTGTCCATATACACAGTTAAGTTTTGGGGGCCATTAGAGGCCATGTGGTAGGGTAAACCGAGCCATGGGTCTGTTGGTGGCACGTGGCAACGCTGTTTTGGTTGTGATGGCAAAAGGGCCATAAGTAGGCCTATATATAATTTATCAGAGGGGCATAGGGGCTTAATTGGGACGAGGGGCTATTTCACTGAGTGCTTATCCTTTCATTAGGGCACAAATATCTTGTGTTTTTTTCAAATTCTTGTTGCTGTTGGAATCAATTCCATTTGCTTTCTTAAGTTAATTTACAGCAATGCATGCAGCATAGTATATATATTATACTAAACATGTTACTGGTAGTTAGCTGGAAATACTTTGGAGGAGAAAAGTAAAAAAAAGTATTCCCTTTTAAAATGTGGTGGAGTGAAAGAAGAGTTACGACATTTAAATTATTTAGTCCAAATACTTCGATATTTTACTTCAGTACAGTACGTGAGTAAATTAAGTCTTTCCAGTCCCGTCATACACTTGAATCAAAATCACTCATTAAGAGAAATACAATCGTAAACAAACAGACATAGGGCAGTTTAGAAAAAAAAATTGTTTTTGGCTCAGATCACAGTTAATCCACAGCTTTGCTGCACTGAAAAGTTTGGTACAAAAAAACCCCCCAAAGAAATATAAAATGACTTAGAGTGCAAAGAGGAGATGCAGTGCATATCTTCAGTATACAATACAGTGATACACTGAGAGAATGTCTTAATATCAGTAGCAACAGAATAACAATGATCAAAACCCTGGGTAAACTTATAGAAAAAAAATGAAACAAGACTGCCATCCAGTGGTGGCACAGTGCTGATATTTGATTCACATCAAATAAACTCTGAAACAAATTTAAAAAATAAAAACATTATTTTCACGGTCACAGATAACAGTGTATGAATATTCACATTAACCTTCTGTAGTCCTTATCTGGGTCCAAAGAATTCAAACAGTGCATTGAAGGATAAATAATAAAATCTCCTTGTGGGGTCGAAGGAACTACACAGTCGGCAAGAAAGGAGACAGCTCTTTCTCATTCCACGCTAATGTACTCTTCCTTTGGTTCTCTGTAAGAAGTCAGAAGAAAAAAGACAAGTCAAGTTATACTAAATCTTGCTATAAATCATTCATACATCTTGCAGTTTTCAGTGTTCACAAATGGTTGGGTTGTTTTTTTTTCAACCAACGAGCAATTCAATAGGCCTATGTATTAAACTATTTAAAAACTTACATTTGAATCAACTGACCACTCCCTTGTAAAGAGTGACATTTATCCTGGTAGCTTCATCAGTCTGCATGCTCATCTTTTCTTTTACTAATCACAGCTTTAGATCTTATTAGGGCCAGAGTACCAAAGAGCGGCGTGGGGAACCTTTTACTTTCTTTCTCTCCACCAAATGAATCACACATGTGGCATCTTTAATTTAGCCTTTGAAAGTGCTGTTGAAGCATTTCTGTTTTAAAAAAAAAAAAACATGATGGCTGCCACTAAAGGGGGATATTCTAAATCTGCTATCATGTCAGTTTTTAACAAACATTAGTGTCATGTCATGGTGTTATCATCTATGTCAGTGGTTCTCAACTGGTCTAGCTCCAGGACACACCACCATGTACCTGTACATATGAGAGCACAGTTCACCAAAGTTAAATTCCTTGTGTGTGTGTGTGTAAGCATACCTGGACAAATAATCTGATACTGATTCTGATTCATCATGAAACATTGCGATCCAAATTTTCAATGAAAAAGTATACAGTTTTGACCTCAGACGGTACAGAGCTTGTGACAGAACAAACTAATGTGTTTGAAAAGGGCGTCGTAGACTTTTAACACTTTTTTCCCCAGGCAGGCTGCTGCACGCCACTGAAAATTAGCTATGTGACTCACTTTTGAGTCCCGACCACCATTTGAGAACCACCAGTCTTTTTCATAAATGCCAAACTTCTTTTTGTGATGTTGAATATCAAGCCATTTCAATAAGATGTTACAACAAGCCATGTAGCTAAGCATCATCCTATTTCATTGCACATGTTCCTTTGAATGGATGGTTGTTTATTATTCTTTGGAAGGATTTGTAAGTCGATCAACAGGAGGTTAGGTAACTATTGTCATAGATCAATTAAGATTGTATTAAGCAAATAGCAAAATATTTTGTTTCTGATTGTCATTTATTTGTTTGATTTGGTTTGATGTCATATTGAATTGAAAAAAAAAGTGGATTGGGGGTCCATTTTTTAAGATGTACCCTAGAAATATGTTGATAAAAATGTAGTAAAGTTAAAGATTAATTTGTTAGTTGTGTTAATAAATTGTAGATGAATCATGAATCAACATGATGATGATTTGTAAAGATCTACACATACTGTACCTTGTCTCTGACAGAAACAGTGTGCTTTCCTGGCAGAAACATCAAGGTGAACGCGTCAGTCATTGACATTTTCATGCAACAGACACAAGTTAGCAAACTGGCTCAACTTACCTCTGAAAGATGTAGAGGCCAATCATTATCACAAAAGATACGACGTCCACAGAGATCCATATAACTTTGTACGTGTCATGAGCCTGGAACAATGGTCAAGGTGTGTCACGTCACATAATAATAATGTTTGTTTTTTTGAAACTGTAGAAATTTTTTTAGCTCCTAAACAACTTCTTCAACTGATGCTATGAACTCTGCGCATTTAATTTGTCCTTAAAACATGATCTTTGTGCAGGTGCATGTAGTGCTCACCATGACCCAGTCAGGCTCATTCATCTTTTTTAGAAGATGACAGGAGTTGGTGGTAACAGAGCTGGCCCCTGCGCACCACAGCAGAGAGAAGAGCCAACGTTCATTCACCACCCACAGGTTCACTGTAATGTTCATACTGCGTAGATCACTGTAGGATACAAACACAGCGTTTAAAGTGGATCATAGCAAACACTGAATCTGACATACTTAATTATCATGTACTTAGAAGTTAGTAGTTAGTTTGAATACAAACATTTATAATATATGTTTTTTTTTTGCTGCATTCATAAATCGACTGCATGGGATGAAAGGTGTATGTGTAAACAGTGCACACTTGAAATGCATAGCATTATCATAAAGCACTCATGCACAATGAGATCAGCACACCTCAAACGTGTTGAAACTGCATTTTTTAAACATTTCTTTTTATAAAGGTGGATGTGCTCTACTGTGAACAACACTCCTGGGTGGAGCTATAATTTGAAACTCATTCCCTGGAGGTAGATCTTGTGCTCTATATTCAGTGCCAACACTGTGTCTTAGCATGCAACACACACACTTTTAATTAACACACTACTGTGCACGCCCCCTGGCACTACTGAATAGGTAATATTAGTGCATAGCGTTTGGGATTGTTTCTTACCTGATCTGCTTCATACTCAACGTGCTGTATTTCACATTCAGGTGATTTCCTGTTTTGTTAAGCATGTCTTTCGTGTTCTTATAGACCTGGATGAAGCCTGGGGCGATCTTATCTACATAGTCTCTTTTTTCTGGGGGAAGCCAGAGAATCTACAAGAGGTCAAATACAACAGCTTGACAATAAAGTTGTGAATTATTTCAATCAAATTCCATCATAGTTGAGATTAAAATAGACTTTACCAGACTTTGGTCAATGCCAGAACTCAAGATGGTGCTGACTATGTCCTCTGTGTCATTTTCCACGTCAGGACTATATAAGTCGAACACCACTGAGACGTTGTGCTGCTTTGCAAGGTTTAAGAGCTGAAGTAAGGAAGGTATAGTCTGTCTCCGGGCTTTTCTCTTCTCCTCTGCCGAGAGCATGGAAACTGAACCGAAAGGATCTGTCTGCAAAATTAGATCATACTTCCTGTGACTGCAGCATGTTGCATGAATACACATAAAAAAGAGTGTTTGTAACAACGCCCGGCCTCACCTTTATGAACCATTCCCCGGCATTCAGACTCTTTAATTCCTCCCAGGTGAAGTTGCTGCTGTGGCTGAAGTATTTGTCTGGAAACTTGTCTTTGACATTTGTTGTTCTGCGCAGGAACTCCGCCTTATGGTCATGCATCAAGAAGGGAACTCTGTCTTCACTATATCAGAAAAAAAGGTTAAAAGTGAGGTGCAAAAAACTTATTTCAAGGTGCATTCATTCATGTATTGACCTGCAAGAGCAACAAGAACAAAATATGTGAGCTAAGATATTAAAAAAGTAAACAAGATAAGACTTTGGACCTGATCATCTGGTCAACAACCAGATAGAAGAAACAGACAAATGAATAAACCAAATCCTCAATTATCCAATCAAATCTATTATATCAAACATTAAAAAATCATTTTTCATTTGATGCCACCTTCACTGTACCTGAGCTGAACATCTGTCTCGAAGGCTGTGACGCCGCATGTGACGCTGCTGTTGAACGACATCATGGTGTTCTCTGGGGCCAGCTGAACACAGCAAGAGCAGATGGGTGAGACACACTCGTGTGCTTAAGCCACAGTAGGTATTGTACCCTTAAGACACACACACAGCCCCCACAAAGAGGTAGTAACAGAGGCGTAAATCTGTGTAACTTGACCTCTTACTGGAATATAAAATGGGAAAATCCGCAAATTTTACCTATTGAGAAGTTGGAAAAGTGTTTGGGATTTTTTTGCTAAAAAAGGAACACATTATTTCAGCTGAGTACATCATGTAAAAGAGGATATTGAATGTTGTGGAATGTTTTGTCAGCTGACTGTTTGCCTGTACGTAAAGACAGTAAACAGAAAAACGAGTTTCAGGCTAAAGGTATAAAACTCTGAAGCTAACGTATCACAATTTATACCTGGTTTGTTCAATCAGTCCAAAAACATACAGTAAACCCTTTTTTTTTTAAATCTAAAGATGCTGATTATTGCATGGCTGGCATGGAATATTGATTTTTTTCTGACACTTGTATAGAAATTAAAAATGACAAATAAAGGTTAGTTTCCTTTTTTTATCTTTTTTATTATTATTTTATTTTTATTGCCATTTGGCAAACATCTTAATAAAAAAAACCTATGTAATGGAGTGGTCTTGTTTCACCACTCAGCCCTTAACACTCTTGTCTCAGTGGAAAATATTTCTTTTGATGGATTGGTACTGTTTGCACTGTTCATCTGAAAATAAACTATAATGTTATCAGATTAGTGTAGCTGAGAAACAATAATGGAAGTGAATTTATCAACCTAAATCAGTGGTCGATTTTTTAAAACTTTGTTCCTCTTTTAAATGACCATTTCAAACCTATTAGATTAGATTATATTAGGAAACTGTATTAATCCCAGTGCAGGAACTCTGTCACAGTTTCAGTTGTTATCCTATGCTATATGGAAACACCTCTGGTAGGCTCTTTGTGGGACTTGTGACTGACAGGGGAGGATAGCTAATAAAGTAATTTGAAAAATAAAAACTACAATTTAAAAAAAAAATGGATAATGTGAGTCACATTATTTATCCAGGGGGTTTCTCCTAATGTCAGACTAATAAAGAAATAATATCCTAAATGTCTTTGAATATTTCAACATGCAAAACATTTTCCCCACTTAAACTCTGACCACACAGAGTTTTGGCTTGCACTGCTGTATTGATGAACTGTTATCAAATGTTATATTATCCCCAACCTCCTCTTACCTGTTCAAATAATAATGACCTGTAATATTAATAATAATATACAAGCACGGATTGAATAGTTGTGCAAAAACAGAATATTTTTGTTTTCTTTAAAAAGTATTTTGAGGTTTAAAACTCACGTTACTTACAATTATTTGTTTTTAATAACCTCCTCATATGTAGAGACTAATTATTGTTGTGAAGTAAAATGAGTTGTTCAGTGGGAGGACTGGGAAACTCTACATCTCACAGCACCCCTATAGGTCGGATGCTAAAATGGCCCCTTGCTGCTGAGCCTCAACTGCAGCAGCTCTTTCCATAGCCGTCTAATGGGTACACTATGGGAGACTGTTTAATGTGCATCTTTAAGCCTTTGTCGAGTAAATCAGGATGCTTACCATCGGGGCTCCTCTGTGGCCAATGAGCTTGGGTTTCTCAGGTAACTTGTGCATTTCTATCAGGCAGGGAGACTGGATGTACAGGGGACACAGGAAGATGGCTGTAGACACCGTCACAAACACCACTGCGATGAGGAACTTAGACCCTGGTGAGAACAATAGTCAAGGATATAATAATCTTTTTTTCTTTTTTTTTTACTCTGATGTGAGTAAACAAAGGACCTCTTCAAAAGTCTCTTTAGAAGTTTGATCAAATAAAGCACTATTTGTTCTGTGGGAGTATCAAACATATCAGTGCCTTTCAAATCCGTGCATTCTTTTATATTCCTCTTTGAGGTTACACAGAATTAAATCACACAACACATAAGTGAAAGCATTTGGTGAAATACACATGGACACAATTGTACTTTCTGGGTTTCGTATAATAAAAAAAATAATGGTTAAGAAAACTCCACAGGTCTGATGACATTAACACCTGTGTGCTCTGACTAATCTCCTTCGACTGCATGTCAGACACATGAGGACAGAGGTTGGCTGTGCATGTGCTGTCCGGTTTGTTGTGGGGAAAATGTTGTGTTTGTATAAATAGTGGCATTTCTTATAGATGTTCCAGTACAATTTTTCTTCCTATTCCAATATCTAACCTTGAGTATTTTCCAATACCAACCCCTCAGAAGCTAGTTTGAAGAAAACCACTAATATTGGTTAAAAAAAACCAACGATTACTGAAGGTTACAAGCTTTGAATTACACTCTCTGATATCTCAAACCTGTTGTTTCTTATTTCCCCATGATATTTGACCTGAAAACGTTTGATTTTGTGGGGGAGGGCTGGACTCATAATGCTGCATTGACTGGCTTAGTTACAAGTCTTCACCTAATACCACATTTTAAATCATTTCAGAGGACGATACAGAAACTGGGAGCTGTATCGGTATCAAATCAACTCTGGGGTCACATTGTGATGCCAATGTGTACCCTTAACTGGCGTTTAACACTTACAGTTTTGCTTAGCTGCATGGAAGCCCCTGAAGACGAATGGACTCAGCAGGGTCAACGCCCCAACAGCACCAAACTGTAAGAAAGGAGCTGTGGCCTGCCAAGAGACCAACACACAACCGAAACACATTCAGAAATTCACTGACAGAAACTTTGTAGAAAAAATAGGAGTCCTAAAATATTACTGTACCTGGAGGGACAGAGGAACAGTTGGCCACTCTTGTTGCCACTTGAGACTGATTCCTGCGACCCCAAAAGCGATGAATATAACTCCCAAAAACAATAAGACCTTGGCAGAGAAAAAGGAAAACATGAACTTCAACGATAAAAGAGAGTTTTTTGTGTGGTATCATACAAGTATATTTAATATACCTTATGCAGCCAATGTAAGTCAAGTGGTTCTCCTAAGAGAACTTGGAACAATGCAAAGATCTGTAATGAAAGGAGGTTCATTTTATAACATGACATGCAAATATGGCGTCTTAATCTCTGGCTTAATATGAAACTAATCTTTTTTCTTTGGATTTGATGCTAATCTCTCTTTTCGTATTATATAGGTTTATTGTTTCAAGGCGAAACAATGGCTATTTTATGTTTTTTTTTTTTTTTTAGCTTGAAATCTAAATGCCGTGATTAACCAGTCTCATGAGAGTTCCTCTGTTAATACAGCATCAATACGTTATTCTCACCAGCAGCAGAACGCAGTAGCTGGTTATAGCCGCAGAGATGATGATCAGCACCATGAACCAGTTCACCCACCGTTTCATGTTTGCAAAGCCCTGCCTGATAATAGAACAATAGAGGGCAGCAAAGGGTTAGCAGAACAACGGTCACCAATAAAGAAAAGAAAAGACAGGATTCTGGGCTTTTGTTCAACATTCAATGTGGGCCATGTGGATGTTTGTGTGTGTTCGCTCACCAGTTCACGTCGTCTTGGTCATTAAAAGTAACCAGACAAACATACATCCAGCACAGGGAGAGGAGGGAGACCAGAGTGAGAACTGAGAACCAGCAGCACGCACGCTGATGTGAAAAGAACAGGAATATAAATGTTTCAGCTTTTGACACTTCAAAACTTTTAAAGTCATCAGGGTTCAGATAGTAATCAAAATCGTTTATGTGCTGTGTGTGTGTGTAGAAGTGAAAGTATGTGTGTGTGTGTGCTACTAGAGAATTAAATCCAAAAAGACTATGGCATGACTCCAACATTTTTTCATTGTTGGGTTTGTGCAATGCACTGAGCCGTGATAACTTAACCCTTCATTCTGTTACAGCATCCACACACACCTCAGCCCGCTCATTTTTCTAAAAAGAAAATATAAATATATATATATGCACTGCTGCAAATCCCTCCCCCTCTCTAATCCAGATAAACCTATTACAAGCCTGATGGGGCCCGTGAGTTTACTGATTGTGATTGGCACACTTCTGCACATTAGTGTTTATAATCATCACTTTGTTAGAAAATGTTTCCTGTCTACAAGTGTATGAAGAACTTTCTTTAAATAATGGAATATCATATAATCAACAATAATCAACAATGCGTTTAATTAAAGAACAAGATGGCCAACAGGTTTGTAAAAATATAAATTTCTGATTTCAGTCTGCTGGAATGTTAATCCCTTATTATGGGATTAGATTAAAAAATTGGAAGCACAAGTGACCTAAAAAAACCTAATAAACCAGAGCATATCTGAACATCTTAATGGTCATGTACAAGTCTTTTTTATACCACACAAATAGAGCCAACAACACTTACTTTTCTCTCGTTTTCACTTGATTGCTTCCAGTGGCAGCTATACAAGCCCCTGCTGCAAACCCTCCACCAGCTTTCATCTTGAGACATCGTTTCCCCTCCTCTCTCACCGTGTCAGTCCTGTTGAGACACCTGATACACAAAGCCTGAAGCAGGATGGAGAAGGCCTCAATAATGTTTTCTCCGGGTACTAGGAAGAAGCCTGACCTCCTTCACCTCTCTAAAGCTGTGGAGGGAAGGAAGGGAAAAGGGTGACTGTGACAGAAAGCAAATGAGGGGCCGGGAAACAAGGGGTTTCTTTGCTTATTAAGGCAATCCCCGCTCAGTAACCCCCTGAATAGCGGCAGTGTGCAAAGGGGGGTTAAGTCGATGGCAGCACTTACAATAGCCAACACCATGGGGTATTGAATGTAGTGCTCGGACCGGCCTGAGAGTGAAGTCACACTATTGAGCCTCTGCAGCACAAACAGCCACAGTGACAGGCACGTCCACGCACAGAGAGGGGGGGGGGAGAGTAAACTCTGAGTGTGATGAAATAAAAACAGAGCTGAAAGACAGGTTTGGGACATCGATGACTCCTGGAGATTATAGGGATTTAGATTTTGAGAAATGTGGCATGTTGATATATATCAGGCCAAGAATGGGCCACAACAATATCTAAACATGTCAAGGCAATAATTTTACCGTTGTGCCAGGTTATGGTACTCTATCAGGTGTGAAGTCATGGGAAATTACCAGCCCTTCTAGATACCACCTGATGTGACATGTTAGACAATAAACGTTTGTTGTCTGAAGGTTTCTTGTTGGACTTGATTTGACTTGGGGGCGGGGGGGGGTTCAGCAGTTGTCTTCCCTATATTGTTTTTTTCCTTCCTAAGTCAAAGCCTTAATGATAAAGAGAAGTTCAAGGTTAGGGTTTTAAAGTTTTAAATAGGTGAAGCCTTTCATCTAATTTAAGATGGAGTTAAGATATTTATCACGCATAACCCAAAATAATTGTGTCACTGAATCCTACCATCAGGTTAGATATTTCTTTCTGCCATTAGGGAACTGTTCTTCATTATCAGGCATATATCATCCAATAAAAGCAGGTCTGTACAGGTTGACAGGTTTCAATGTCACTGACGGAAAAGAAGAGGCTTTGTTTCACTGCAAAACCTGTACATTTACGAGGAAGTTTTAAACCTGAGAGGAATGTTGAGTAATTACTGCATGGGAAAAACCGCACAATCAACCTGTGACAAGAGGACTAAAGAAAATAAATAGAAACGTGTCCCCATTACAATCAGAGAACAATTAACTACTTTTGTGCAGCTGGGTGCATTATAACAGCGTCCCTTTGTATAAAACGTAGCTTGAAGACATCATTGGTTAATGCCAATGCCAGACATGCTGCTTCAAGGATAATGTTTTGTCGTATGAATACATTAGACTTGCATGGTGGTGTATATTCAAAGACAACACACAGGTACTATATTTTGTGTGCCAAATAGGTTTCAGCATTTTCCGCTGTTTGGAAATGAAAGCTGTATTTAGGCATGGTGATGTTGTTGATGTACTTGAATGGCAAAAGTGATGAGAGATTAATCATCATAATGTTTATACAGTGACATGATAAAAATGTTTTGACTTTCCTTCATGACAGGACATGTTTCACCATCATAAGAGAACACCTTCACTCTGTTGTTTGCATCAATAAATTAGCAAAACTAGAACATTTCATACAGCCCATAATATCTTAGCAGAGAGCCACCTGATCAAAGATAGTCTCAAAGACAGATCATGATGTGATCTGGTTTGTTTTACCCTTGACCAAAAATAGAGAGGTGTATAAACTTTATACTGTACAACTCAAAATACACATGCCTTTACTTATCTTGTATAGGTTTTAAAATTGCTCTGAGAGCAAGAGATTTTCTATAACTGTCATGTGATTGTATTAAGAATTTTGGCCAAGCAAGAACATTTTTTTAAACTTTATTCTGATGGGTTTTTAATCTATCTATCTGCTGAATCAAACACAGATCAAAGGACTCACCATTAATCAAACTATTCCGTGAGATTCTCCGTCAGCTTCTTCACCATCACATCAAAACAAACTTCGTGGGAAAAAGTGCTCAGTTTGCCTCTCCTCTCCTCTTCTCTTCTCTCCTTCTCTCACACTCTCTTCACCCTCTGTTAATCCGTGAACTGAATGCGAATAGTCCCACATGGATGGGTGCTGCTGGATGAAGGGGTGTAGCCGAAACAGAGAGGGAGGATCCATAGACTTCAGGTCAGGTTATGAAACAAAGTGGAACTTTAAAAGGTTCAGAGGTAGCAAATATGCAACAATAGCCCAGAGATCATCTACGGCAGGACGTCTCATCTAGCTCACTGTTGGTGAAGCTATGAAAATAAAAATATTTATTTTTAATGACACCAAATTGTGGCAACTCATGATGTATAAATCACACATTAAATACTTAGGTTTAGGCAAAAATCCCCCATTGATCAACCTTCTTCTCAAATTAAATAGCCTATAGGAACTAGATTACATTTCTTTTAAATTGCTAATTTTTGCAAGATATTCTCGAGTGAAGTGGGGAGAACTGTGAGGCTATACCTAATGGAGAGAGGGCTAGGTCAAAAAAATTATGATGTAGGTTATAAAAACAAAATGTTTTTAATTTTCGGATAAACTAATCCACTATCCACTATAGTTTTAATTTTTTAAAGATGGTTTAAAAAAGTAAATTGGGAGTGAAATTTTACTCTTCAAGAACTGATTTTGGGATTTTACTAATCACTTTTTAAGGCATGGGCCGGGGTCTGCTACACCATAGAATTGCTTTTATGTGGTTTCATCTTCTTATTGCCTCTTAATTTAAAGGACATGGCCTTTCATTTGAATTTAAAACCTGGTTATTTTAACTGGAAAAACATTCTATTTGACTTAATAATGAAAATAGATTGTTCTTTCTGTTACAAGATAGTTTCTTCATTTTGGTTTTGTTTTAACATCTACACTGTATTGCTAAGATGTGTCATTAACCAAAATTCAGTGGCCTGGGCTGAATGAATATAGCCCAAATGATCGAGAAGTAGTCTGCTTGAAATTATCAGTAAATCAAGGGTGAATGCTATGACACCTGTCACTCACTTAGACTTCACTACAGAAGTGAATGGAAGAGCATGCTACAGTGCTGGGGCTGTAAAATAAAATAAAATAAGTTCAATTAGAGATGCCATATGTTTTTAATAACTATTGGGTTCAGTTGCAACTCTGGGTTACATCAAAGTTCAAAGTTATTTGAAGAATCATTTTCTAAAATTCTACAATTCTACAATTCACTTAACAGACGCTTTTATCCAAAGCGTCGTACATCAGAGAGTAAGTACAACACAAGTAAGGATCTAGAAAAAAGGGAACAATGTCAGTAAGAGCAAATGATCAGCTTTGAGTCCGATTGGACACATAGGTGCTGACAGGCATTGCACAGAGGCAAAGCACAACATTGATGGCAGTTCTTGAGAGCTCTAATCAGTACAGAAACCATCTTAGAAGTCGCTGTTATAAAACAAAAACCATCGTCATGACCATCATCATCATCAATAATATCGAGACCATCATCATTAAGTTAGTAGGTATTCATGACAGAGCTGGGTCTTTAGCTTTTTCTTAAAGGTGCAGAGGGACTCTGCAGATCCAATGGAGTTTGGAAGTTCATTCCACTACCGGGGGGTAACAGAAGAGAAGAGTCTATTCAGCGTCTTAGGACCCTGTTATGAAGGTTGGATCAGACGCCTTTCATTGGCAGAGCGTAGTGGGCAATCGAGGCTACTTGAACCTTAAAAGTTAGCTGGTCATCAATCATGACACCCAGGTTCTGGGCAGACTTTGTAGGCATGAGTTTGGTTGTTCCAAGCTGGATATTGATCTGTGGTTGCATAGAGGGACTGGCTGGGATGACAAGGAGCTCAGTCTTTGAAAGATTGAGTTGAAGGTGGCGTTCATTCATCCATTTAGAGATATCAGCAAGGCATGACGAGATTCTTGCAGAGACTGTAACATTGTCTGGCGGGAATGACAGGAAGAGCTGGGTATTGTCAGCATAGCAGTGGTATGAGAAGCCATGAGAGCGGATTATTGAACCAAGTGAGCTTGTGTATATGGAGAAGAGAAGGGGACCAAGCACTGACCCTTGAGGTACCCCTGTGGATAAATTTCGCGCTTTGGACACTTCTCCCTTCCACGACACTCTAAAGGATCGCTCAGAGAGGTAGGACACGAACCAGCAGAGGGCAGATCCTGAGATGCCAAGTTCAGAGAGCGTGGATAGGATGATTTGATGGTTGACTGTGTCAAAGGCAGCAGACAGGTCTAGCAGTAACAGAACTGAGGACTGACCCGCAGCTCTGGCAGCTAGTAGCGATTCTGTTACTGACAGTAGTGCAGTTTCCGTAGAGGGGTCCCGCTTAAAGCCTGACTGATTTGGGACAAACAGATTGTTTCTGGACAGGAACTCAGAGACTTGCTTAAAGACTGTGCGCTCAAGTATTTTTGACAGAAAGGGCAGAAGAGAAACCGGTCTGTAGTTTTCGAACTGGGCTGGGTTTAGTTTGGGTTTTTTGAGCAGAGGGGTGACCTGAGCTTGCTTGAATGCGGTGGGGAACACACCCGTTGACAGAGAGGAGTTGATGCTATGCTTAAGTTCAGCATTAAGCGGAGAGGAAATGGTCTGCAGGAGGCTTGATGGTATTGGGTCCAGAGGACAGGTGGTGGGCCGAGAGTCTAGCACAAGCTTCGAGACTTCATCCTCAGTCAGAGAAGAGAATGAGTCGAGTGAGGCACTTTTGGTTGGTGCCTTTGGGCTGAGTTGGTCAGGCTCAGAAAACTGGTTACTGATGGTTGCAATCTTTTCAGTAAAATACGAGGCAAACATGTCTGGTGTGAACAGATCGGAGGGTGGAGGAGGAGGTGGTTGAAGCAGTGAGTTAAAAGCAGAAAACATTTTTCTTGTATCTGTGGCATTGCATATCTTGTTCTGATATTATGTTGTCTTGGCCGTTTTCAGGCTGGAGGAGAATGAGACAAGTCTTTGCTTATAGCCATTGAGGTCAGCGGACTGTTTTGATTTTTGCCATTTTCTCTCTGCTGACCTCAGCCCTGCTCTTTGCTCTCTTATGACTTCAGTGAGCCATGGACTAGGGTGGGTTTTGCGAGCGGGTTTGGACACCAGAGGGCAGAGCTCGTTCAGAGATGAGGCTAGTGTGGAGCACAGTATGTCTGTAGCCTCGTCTGTAGAGAGTGCGGTAAAGACCTTATGGGCAGGCATGGCAGCCATTACCTCTTTAGACAGCTGAGCTGGCTTGAGCGATCGCATGTTTTGGTGGTATGACACCATTTGTGGGTGTGCCTGAGGGAGACACGTCAAGGAGATTATGAATTGAATAAAGAAGTGATCTGATAGATGCAGAGGGACGACAGTCAGGTTTGCTGTCGAGCAGCATTGAGTCAGAATTAAATCAAGAGTGTTGCCAGCTTTGTGGGTAGGAGGAGTTGGCACCTGTGTGAGGTCAAATGAGGATAGGAGAGCAAGGAAGTCTGTTGCCTGGGCTTTATCAGAGTGTATATTCATGTCTCCTATTACAATCAGTGGTGTTCCATCATCAGGGATATTCCAATGAGGAGTTGTTGCTCAGTGGGAAGAGTTTATTGAATTTCCAGGTTTTAGAAGTGAGGATACCTGTACCACCTCCGCGTCCAACAGTGCGGGGTGTGTGTGAGAGCACTGTGTCAACAGAAAGAGCAGCTGGTGTGACTGTATTTTCTGGGTGGATCCAGGTTTCAGTAAGGGCAAGTGCCTGAATGTCTGACATTTTTGCAAGTGATTGGATGAATTCGGTTTTATTCACAGCAGATTGACAGTTCCAGAGGCCAAAAGTAAATGAAGGGTGGGGAGAAGAGGCTTTCTTAAGCAGAGACAAGTTGTTAAGATTTCGTTGTCTATGACAGATGTGTCTTTTCCTGTTCCATGAATGACAGAGATTTCTTTGTAGCACATGTTGCGTTTAGCAGATGACCAGAGGAATTAGGCAAAGCAGTAGTCGTGGATGCCCGGGCTCTGTGGCCACGCTGAAGCGTCAGACGCTTCCTAGTTTTCAGATCAGAGCTTGTTCTGCTGGCAGTTTCGGATTCAGACTCTTTTAAGCTTGGATTTTCGTGAAAATCCCGCCCCAGATTTTCAGCTTGCAATCAACTGTTTCATTCTCTGAGCATCAACTGCCTCTCCTGTTGATGCTCAGAGAATGAAACTTAAGTGCTCAGCCCAAACAAAGCCTGACAACGACCCACTATCAATATCTTTCTCATCTTTATGTGTACAAAACGAAGGGCTTCCCTGCATGCCCATTTAAACCACTCGTCCCTGGTCATGAGTATAATGGAGGTGTGGTTTCAGTGATTGTGTTGGGTTAGCTTGGGCAATGGTGATTGGTCTCACAGTGATATCTTTTCATGGGGCCAAGAATTATTGGTGAGTGTTGGACAGTATAATAATGATCTTCATTTTGTTGCTGCAGCATATCTATTTCCCTTTTTGTTGGGTGTAGTTCATTGTGGCTGGCTCTGCAGATTTGCTCAATAATTAGAGGCATTTCATGCACTTCCACCTGAAGAGCTGACAGGGGGATAGATTAAACTGCCCCACAACAAAACCTCAGTGCTTGGGCTTGAATTTTGTCTATTTTTTTCAGCCACGTATATACAGCTGATCCAAACAACACAACCATAATCCAAAACTTATCATATCAATTCAATATAAATAGTCTTTAAAGCCTATCAGCTCCCAAAAATGTGGCTGTCAGTCATCTCATATTCAAACCTTTCTTGCATTTATCCTCCTCTTTGCCAGTGTGATTTTTCAATTTGAGCATTTCATCAAACAATAATCCTAAAAGTTTGAATGTTTTCACTTTTCCTTTTCTTTAATTACCATCTTCAAGCTCATCATCATTAACTCTTCTTTGTAAAGAATAATTTGACATTTTTCTACTGATAGATACTACTGATTTCAATCCTCAGAGACCCGTTTTACAACATCATCGACAGCTTCCTTGACGTTCTTTATAGGCTACTCTAAACTCCTTCATCTTTTCCAGATTGCATAAACTTTGCTCATGCACCAGGAATCCTGGAAATTCTTGTCGAAGCAGGAAATGAATGTGATTTTATTGTCTTCCTTGTGAGATTTGCTTTGTTGCTTCAGCGTATGGACACTTTCCTTTTGCACTTTATAACTCTGAATTTCCTTTGCCATTCTCTGCACTTCACACCCCTGATAAGCAGCACTGTGCTCCCCACTGCACTTCATGGAAAGGCTGATCTAACACCAATACACGACTGCGCCATTGCACGTTAAATGTTACTCCTCCGTGTCAGTAGGCGGCGGTAATGCTCTGTGTGTGTGTCAGTCTCCTTTTAATGAAAGAAGAAGTGTTTGTTTCTAGCCAGCCTCAAACTGGCAGGTGAGAATATTAGTTTTTTTATGACTTTAACTCTGCATTTGACCCCACAGGTTTTAATCAACACCCCACCGTAGTTCTGATGATATTAGCAGCTAAAACTGGGTGAAAGATATTTTTAATGACGACAACAATGTCATTTTTTAAGTTGGCCAGGTAGCATTAGCTAGCATTTCAGCTGTTTGACACTTCGTCGGTAAAACTATAATCTGAGGGAGAGGTACATCTATAATGTTCACATTTTTTTAAGGGTTCAGGTTCGAGTTAGCCTTTTAAGTTGAACTAAGCCACGATAAGATAATATTTTATTTGAATTTAGCTGAAAATGGTGTTGTATTGTGGTCTCTTCCCCACACGACTATACCAAACTGTATAGATATACGGATTGTATAAATATATAAATATAGTACATCAAATTGTACAAATAGATATGTATATATGGATTGTATAAATATATAAATTATAAAAAATCACAGTATATCAAGTTGTATATATGTTTGGAAAGTCATTGGATTGTAAATATCAAATATAGTATCATAAATATAGTATAGAAAATTGTATATATGGAGAGATTATGAGGAACACAGGAATTTAATTTAATAAATATTAATTATGAGCTGTGGAAAAGGAGTAGGATTAAATAAGTTTTATACTTCAGGCATATCAATTGAATATATGTAATTTTCTTTCTCTTTTTCTCTTTTTGTGAAATAATTTGAACATTGTTTTTTGTTTATTGTATTTTCGTGCTTTTCATTTTGTTTTGTATTTTTGACATGTTTGATTTTATTTGATATGTCTGAAATAATTAATCAATCAAATTTAAATTTAATCAATCAATTATACTCAATTCGATGTCTCCAGAAACAATGGATCAGAAGATTCCTTATGATGACTACCAGCTGCCAGTGGTATTCCTGCCCTCCTACGAGAACCCCCCAGCTTGGATCCCCCCTCAGGAGGTACTGTCTGCAACATATTAGGAAAACAAAACATGTATTATATGTGCATATCTTTTAAAGTTTTGTTCTATCATCACAAGTTGGTAGTTTTTCTTTTCTCATGGAGATAGCAGATTTGTTAACACTGAGTTAACAATGTGTTAAGTTTAATCAAATCCTTGTCAAACTTATTTATGTAAAGCACCTTTCAGACAAATTACATTGCAGTTCAAAGTGCTTAACAAGAGTGCAGAAACGTTGTTGACAAAAAGTAGTTTATAAAATCAGTGAGAGACGACAGGTGGTCATATCTGGGGTTGAAATTGTAACCCAGTCACTGTTTACAGGTCACTCTTTGGTTTAACTTTGGTTGTCTAAAGTGTCCCTGTTCCTGGTCAACAGATTTTTTTTTATCAACACACAACATTTGCTTTCAGATTAAAAACAGTTATGTCATAAACCTATCACGGCAGGCCTATGATGCAGTTGAACGCTCTGAGAAAAGAAAGTGAGCGAGCCTGGGTGAAGTTTCTTGGTCAATCTACAGGATGATACAGAAACTGTTGAACATTATGGACAACATCATACATCCCTTACACAATCTCGTGTGTGAACAAAAGAGTGTTTTAATGGGAGGCTACGGCAGCTAAGCTGCAAAAAAGGACAGATTTAAAAATGCTTTTTTCCCTACTGCAATTGCACTTTATAACGACTCCCCTTTAAGTAAGGACAGAAGACATTTAAACTTTTGAACTTTAGCCTGAGTTGCATATATCATATATCAAACTGAATTGTGGGCTCATGTTTTTTTGTATGGGTGGGATATGTATGTATATATGTGTTGTGTTGTGTGTTTGTATGTATGCTGGCTGCTGGAACACCTTTAGATATAATGGAATGATATTTCCTGCCCTAAGTAAATCAAACATTTTCTGCTGATTCAACTAGCTCCAAAGATCTCTTAGTGTTTCTGAAAGTATTAGATGATGCCTACTGAGTCTTGAGTGTGAACTTGATTTTTGTTTTTACACAGAGTCATAATGAATGTCATTTCAGAATTCTGGTTTGTCAGCTTTTTTGTTTATGTTCATTTTAGCGGGTGCATCAGCCTGACTACAACAATGAGCTCACCCAGTTTCTGCCGCGTACAATTGTGTTGAAGAAACCTCCAGGAGCACAGCTGGGCTTCAACATCCGTGGGGGCAAGGCTTCACAGTTGGGGATCTTTATATCCAAGGCGAGTGTGTGTGTGTGTGTGTTTGTGTCAGGCATATTTCATCTGTCCTTAATTTCATGCTTGTTTGCTTTTCCAAAAAAATGCCCCATAATCATTTCTATTTTCTGTGTGTGTGATGCTTGCAATGTATCTACAGGTGGTCCCAGACTCAGACGCACACAGGGCAGGACTGCAAGAAGGAGACCAGGTTCTTTCTGTGAATGAAGTGGATTTCCAAGACATAGAGCACTCAAGAGTAAGTCTAGCACCATGACTGTCTCGCTGAGATCAATACAAAACTAATATTTACCGCAAACAAGCGAGAACAGTAGTCACGCTAACATGGACAGGAATATTCCGACTATTATTCTAAATCATGCAATTTTGTGATTATGGTGTTTATGTGCATTGCTTATAGAATCTTCCATTCGATTGCTGTTTGCATGTGAAAGAGCATAGTTCCATTAATGACGATGGCCCAAAAGTCCCCTACACCTCTTACAACCAAAGTTCCTTAAGTCTCTCCATTATATTGTAATATGGAACATTGGTAGTAGAGCGTACTACCGCTCCTCCTGATTGTTGTCACACACAACTACCAGCAGATATTTACATGATTAAAAACAGGCACGGCGAGGGTGAGAACACTAAGGTCAGAGCACCGTTTGTTACATAATAACCACACCAATGGTCCATCAACGCTTCACAACCCGTTTCTGAATGAAAGTCCGTGAAAAAGTTGCATGAAAATATATTTTGAAAGACTGAATTGTCTTCCTGTTTGTACAGCAGACCTTCATGGTTCCTACACGCACAACTTTAACGCTGCCTTCTTTTTCACTGAGACTCTGCTCAGGGATTTAGTAGCAGTACATTTATTTTACAGCATGATGATACAATTTCTATCAATCCCAGGATCACATCTGATCCAAACGAATCACAAATCAACTGTGATCTGTTGCACCACTGCTCAAAACCCTTCACATGACACTTGTTTCTCCCTCCCCCGCCCACAAAGTGCACCTTCTTCAAAATAGCCATATTGATTTCCAGAGCCCGCTTCAAGCAGTTGGCAAATGCCACATGTTTTTTGTTGTCGTGGCCTTTAAGTACATTTCTTCTTCCTCTACAGGCTGTAGAGATTCTGAAAACTGCACGAGAAATACTGATGAGGGTTCGCTTCTTTCCTTACAGTAAGTCTTCTTCATCTGCTGCATCAAACCTTTGCTATGTACCTACAGAAGAGCATTTCTAAAGACATATGAGTTGGGTTTGCCCATGGTGAAAATGTTCCAGGATGTTTCAGGAAAGCAAATACACTGGCGCTCAAGGCGGGAAACTGGCTCCAAAAACTATTTTAGGAACCCTCTATAGCTGAGAACACATAAAGGGAATTGATTGGTTGAGCAATTCTTTAAGAAAGTAACTCCAAACATGAAACATATTACACCAAAGAGGAGAGGAGTCCAAATGACATAATCTTGTCATACTTTCAAAAATGGTTTTCAAAAGGGAACACACAAATGGTCATAAATGAGCTTTGTGTTGTCCAGGTTCTGTCAGTACAACTTGTACTTGTTTGTCCCTAAAGATAAATCAGTGTTGAGACCATAAATAAAAGATGAATCAGGTATATCAGGCGTTACTTAAATATGTTAAATGAGATGCTTTTGTATTCCTTTGTCATCATTTCAGATATAAGCCTGCTTTGTTTACAAACGTTGATACAAACAAACATAACAAGTTCAAATAAAGCCGTGTACTTGTGTTTATAATCAGATGAATAAAGGTAAGGTAGACATTTATCCTCCTGACATTTTCGTCCTCAGTTTGAGTGTGATGGCAGTCCAATCTGTTTTGAATTTGGAATGTTTGTTGTCATTCTGTAGTGTGAACATTGTTCATGAAATGTTATGTGAAGAACGCTTACATGAAGACCATTTTTCTTTATGTGAAACCAAACCTTTTAGAATTTGATGCATGTTCCAGTATCAGCCTACTGTAGCCAAGATAACTATTTACTGAGTGTCTACAACCACCCAAAAAAAAAAAACTGCCTTTTGAGTCACTGAGTAATGTAACACGTGTAGGAGATTATATAATGTCATCCCTGCCATCGTTTGAGTATTATTTTTATTTTTTTTCTCAGACTACCAACGACAGAAGGAGAGGACTGTACACTAGGTGGCAGTAGAGAGAGAGAGAGAGAGAGAGAGAGAGAGATGTGGACAGACTCCTCGCTGCTTCGTCATCACCCTCCTCCCACAAACTCTGGCCTCCATTCTGCTTCAGCTTCAAATAATTGATGTATGACTAACAGAATCATTCAAAGTCCTTCATGTAAAGACATCCACTCTGTTTTATACCTGTCTCCTTTCTCGCCAAGGGATCTAATCACTCTCTTCTATTCTCTATTAAGATAAACTTTTATTCACAGGAGGTCCTTTTATAGTTTTTTAAAATTCAGGAATTGGAAAGCAGAGGGTGGAAGACATTTTACACTATTAATTATATTGTAGTTATTATTATTAGAGTATATTACTGTACATAATTTCCAGTTAAGTACCACATTCAATCCCTGAATAACTGAATTAATCATTGCTTTCTTGATGTTTTCACTAAGCCTTGTTAAATCCTGCAATGGTCTTACACTTCTATTTGAATCAAACACAGAGTAGTTTTTGGTTCATCTCTACACATTTGCCCTGACGACACTGATACAAAGTAGAGACATAACTTTACACGCACAGGGTCTGATTCGCTGTCGGACTGTGCGGCTTTTCCATCTGCTAAACTGTGCAAACGAGTCATAAAGACAACGTCTAATTCACATTCAGCATTCAGGGCAAAGCTTTGTTTTAAATGGGGAAACTCATATTACATTTTCCAAGTCTGGCCTCAAATTTTCAGCCTCCACGGCAAGTTAATCATTTTTTTATATGTGCTCAATAGAGCACCGTCAGCATGAGAGTGCAGCTTCAGAGCATAGGAAGCGGTGCAGATAGTTTCTGTTCAAACCAAAAACCAGAGCAAGCTGCACGGAGCAGGACAACTTATGGTGCCGGAATATCTTAAGTGCTATATGCTTTGTGAATTAGACATCGAGACTGAGCAGATAGTGGGAGCAAATGATGTGCAATTTTTGGAGCTATTAGCGACCGAAATCTATTTTTAGTAAATCAGGCCTTCAGTTGCTAGTTAATGATAAACCAGGCCAAAAAACTATTGTAAAGCTAACTGTTATCTTCCTGTATTTTAAATGCATTGCCTGCCTCATAAGAACTTCAAACAGCCTCTTAAATGACACTTGTCACCACGACCAAGGCAGAGCATTTAAACCTTTAGAAAGGAGAGTCATTGTGTGACACTGCAGTAGTTTTGTCACTGAATACTTCATATCTGGTGATTCAGTGTGTAAATATAAAAATAGAACATAACACTACAGACTGACACTGCATGGTACAAACGTATGTTGTAAGAGAAAATAAGAATGCAGAGTTTAAGTATCACTGTGAATATACTACATATCCAGTTTTTACATATTTAACATCAAATGTGTAGGACAGTTGACTTTGTGTAATTGTATATTTTAGTGTCGGCTTGCAGAGTGAAGCACCCATTTTATAATGTCAAGTAGTAATTAGGCTCAAGTTTCACGCATACATAAACTTCACTTTGGCTGAATGATATTTGCGTTATTAAAAATGTGAACTCTATATTTGATGTGCAAAAGTATAAACTCTAACATTCTATTAAAGTGCATGATAACAGCACATTGTGTCCTGCAGGTTATTTCAGTGGCAGGGCGTTAATGGATTGTTTATCTTTGTTCACTGGAGACCCTGATGTTAGCTGGGTTTGATTTAAACTCAAGACTGGCTGATATTTTTTTTAAGTTTTTAATTTATGCTTAACCGTACATTCAGCATTCCTGCACACATTTGAACATTATCAGTATATTCTTGTTGATGTCACTGCAGATTACTGAACACTGGATGTTTTTATGCTGTCACAAATCTTATTTTGTTATCTTTCCATAAAATAAACTATTTTGGATTGCCATCTGATGAACCTTTTAAATAAAAGAACATGATATTGACATTTACATAACAAATAAAATGATCTGAACCTTAGTGACCTTCGTCTTTTTACTTGGTGAGCATGACACAGAGCTGGAAACGGACCGGTTTGCTCTCGTTCAAGTAGCCAAACTTGTTCTTCTTTGTAGCTGGGTTTCTCTTGAGGCCGGTCGACTGCATTCCTCGTAAGATGACATTGACGAACGTCAAAGCATGTGAACCTTTGGGGGTTTATTTTCTTTCTTTACGTCAAACATCTTAAAGATGAAAAACCTTTCAAAAAGATGCAGAGCTTCATTCCACTTGTCTTTTCTCCGTCATGACTTCATCTAGGCTTACAGTCACTTCTAACTAAAATAATAAATATGAGATTTCCTTGATGGTCCTTCCAATCCTTCAGGTAGTTGTATTCAAAGCATAACAGGGAAACTTCATGTAACCTTTACATGTTAAAACAACATAGTTAGATACACACAGAGCCCCTCCCTGAGTTCCAATGTAAGTCTAAAGTCTGAGCTTGAAATAAGGATGAGGTCACATGAAGTACATCTAAATAAATATACTCAACCTTCAAACTGTCATGTATAAAACATTGAGCGAGAGAAAAAGAAAGCACAGTTATTGGTCATATCTAGTTAAAATCAAGAACATATTAACAAAATCAGTAGTACTTGTAGTGGTAGTGAAGGGATTCGATGTCTGTCGTACATTTTGATCTACACTAAGCTACAAAAAAAAAAAAAAACTTTCAAACTTGATGCCCAAAGCTGCTTAACAAACCTCCAACCTGTAACAGAACATTTCAAGTTCATGTTTTCAACAGTGCAACCAAATAAGTGTTGTTTAAGAAAGTAAAATGTGACTATTTTAAATGTTTCAAAATCATGATCCCATCATTTTGATTGGACATTCAACCTATAAAATAAAAAAAAAAAGGGATGGCCTTAAAAACAGTTTCCATCACGTTCTTAAGTTATTAATGTTAAAAATGTAAAGTGAACTACTGACAGGGCTAACATATTCACAGTCAGTCACAGGTTGACGATCTATGCTTAAATTAATCTGAAACTTTTTTGTGCATTTAAACTTTAAAATAGCTGCAACTAAAAAGGGCCTAACAGAAGACCTGTCGTAAATTTAGTGCTGTAACTATGACACATTCAAACACCGTCACCTCTTAGCCTGCACAACGTTAAAAAAATTTTTAAAAAACAACCATAAAAAAAAAGAGCATGGCAGCAAACACTGGAGACATGTTTAGCTTAGTTCAAAGTGGACTGAGGTGAATGGCAATTTGATCTGTGCTCGTTTCCGTCTTGTGCGACGGCTGTAAACACTTCATGCTGTTGCTCATCCATAAAAGGCACACTGGTTAGGAAAATGTGACAAACATTCACAAGCATTACGGTGACACCACAAAGAGTCAGAGGTCTCAAGTCTTATTAGTTCAAGAGTCAATCCCAACAATCTCGCCCCTTCCTCCTGTCACCGTGATGTGATTTAGCTGCTGTCCTCGCAGTCCAGAGTGGCCACTTTTGAGCTCTCGTCCACGTTTTCTAGCGATTCCGCCCTCTGTATGGACAGAAGGCGTGGGTCCATCATGGGCATGGTGTTCTGCTCCACGTTAAGCCAGGGCTTTTGGTCTGGATGGTTCCGTCGTTTCCACTCTGGGTATTCCTGTCCCGCCTTGTATACACTTTTCATTACCTGGGAGGAGTGGGCGGAGAGAGAGAGAGAGGACATAATTATAAGAGGGCAGCTGTCTTACAATGTGGGTCAAACGCACCGCCGTTCTCCAGTCAACAGAGACAGCAGACTCAGAGACCAGTCAACAGCAAACGAAGCGGCAACTTCCGCTGTTGAAAAAAAAAAACATGAAGCAGATGCAGAAGTGCAAAAACCTGCAGTTCCCTGTATGTCCACTTTAGCAAAAGTCGCATGCACACATATTCTGAATTGTCCTTTTACACAGAAGAACCAAACATGTTTACAGCCTGGTTCACAAATGAATTTGGTCTGAATAGCTTGTTTCTTTATCAACACAAACACTATACCCAGGGTGAATGTTTTTTTACAACTCATCCATTTATGATATTAAGGCTAAGAGTTATTCATAATAAGAGGCGTGGCTGATGTTACTGACAGAGCCTGTTGTCAGGTTTACTGAAAGTTAGTTTGAGATAGCATCTCAAATATGGCGACCGTCATCAATTGGCTTTAAGAGTCCACTTCAGAATCCAAAGTCCCTGAGACTGTATAACACAGTGGATACAGCCGACTCATGTGCAATCCTCATGAGAGAGACTGTTCAGCTAGACATGTTTGCCTACATATTTTGACGAAATTCTTAAAATCTTTGAAAACACATCCAAACACCTATAGTGGTTATCAAGAGGAGTGGACTTTGAGACTTTGCAGCAGTAAATCCTTTAAGTAACAAGTTTCATCAGTAGAAGATTTTATCCGTAAATATGTTTCTAATCTGTTCTTGAAAATTTAAGACATAGTGAACAAAATTATAGTGTTTTGGCCTCTTGTATGCAATTGTCTCTCTCAGCCCTCTGTATTAGAGAACTGAACAGCCAAAAGATATCAAACTGGAAAATGTAGAAGAAAACTCCTTAGACAAAACAATTCATCGATTGAGAAAATAATACGCCCAATGGAATCAGTGGGTTTCTCATATTTAACCTCCTTACAGTAAATCTCTCATTTATAATCTCAGGAACCTAGAGAGGCCCCACAAGCCTCGAGAACGACCTTCCTTAAACCTGCTAAAGTGCACTTTGTTCATGTTTTTATACATTTTTCACACTCATGAGCTGTCCACAGCTTTACTGAAATGATATATTTTTAAATAATTACTGACTTGTATTCACATGAAGATCATGTTTTTTTTAATTTAACCTGTTGATATTCTAATTTGTTAATTTTACTGTTGAGAATTATTTTACTTAATCTTCTGAAGTAACTAAAAGTGACCGACAACAAATATTTACAGTATTATCACTCTAATTTGTAATGCTGAAGTTATATCTTTGAGCTTTTTTAGCGTTAAATTTATAGAAACTACCCACAGGGTTTCTGTTAAGCAAAGGCAAAGGTCACAATGACACGTTCTCTCACAGTTACACTTTGGTCTAAATAGTTTCAATCTGCAGACGATTTGAAACCTGGTGAACGAGTTCTGCCTGGAGTGAGAGCAAAACCTCGAGCCGAGATACTTCTTTGTCAGCAATCTTACCAGGATAGGCCCTTAAATGTAGTTTCTATGGTTACCATTGTGCTTTTAGACACATGAGACGTTCCCTCCCTTATGCGCACACACCTATTACACGCTTCTTAAACACCTCATGGACACACCCACCGCAGTTCACAGTTTGTGTATCTTCAACTGTATCTTTATTAACGGTGCTGTAATCTGGATGTAAACAAAACACTTTTAAATTACCAACCTTTGGAGCGAGGGCTTGAGATGCTTTGTTTACCATCCACTTTGGAAGAGAACCTGCAGCAAAGACATACGGGTAAACTTCAAGTAAAAACAGCTCAGGCAAGAATCCCCAGTTTAAACATATTGCTCATGTCATGACTGGTTTCAGACTTACCTTTGGGGTCAGCTTGTGACAGGTAAATGAAAGTACAGCTGTTTGGTCCTATGGGCTTGATCAGATAACCAGTGAGGATGGAAATGGCCCTCACTGTATCGCTGCGAGGAGGAAAATTCTGTAATAAGACCAAAAACAGTTTGCAGTATAATGAGTATTATTTAAAAAAAAACACCAACACAACAAGGTGTCAGAGAGGTGTAGAAATTGCACATTTTAAAGGCGGTGTTGGAAATGTGCCTGGGGGTGTGTGGAGGAGGTGGCGTACCGGGTGTTTGACAGAGAAGTTAATGATAACGTACTCATCATCCATCATCCGCCATGAACGTAGAGTCACAACATCTCTGTTTGTAATGGGATGTGGACAATGCCCTGTAGAAAAAAAAAAAAAAAGGTTATATTGTATAAATGAACTTAATGTATTACTTTCTACACTGTTCTCAACAATCCACTAAATAAATGAACTCTTGTTATGACAGCAAACACACTGGTGGGGCAACAGGTCGTTGGTCTTTCCTCCCCTGGGGGCCGTGGCAGCTTAAAACAAGTGTCAACCCAAGAAATAATACAAATGTCGGTTAAAGGGAAAACACGACGGTTGTTTATGGATGTTTGAAAATAAAGCAATCTGATTTGAGCATGCAAATATGGAAAGAGGGGCTTGCTGATAAGAGAATCATGGACGCGTTGTTTACATTTAACTATTACTTCAAAATAATAGTCCACGTTGATCTACTATTTGAATAGAATTTGAGACACCACAGCACTGACTTAAAAGTGTTGTAGTGTCTCATGCACGTGTTTTAGTTACTGCAGCAAAAACTTTGTTTAGGTCCTTATCAGATGTTTACTTCTTAAAAAAAGAAAAAGAAAAGAGCATTGAATTAAATGAATTGCGGTCTACAAAATAACTACTTTCCAATACGGGCAAGTGTAAGCGAACATCCCAAATAGTAACACTAATACTGACTGTCCCTTTTTCAGGGTTGCATTTCCTTGTGAAACTGGGTCAGGCCCCACGCCAAACAGGTTTCTGATCCATGGGACAAACACACAGGAGACATTTGATGAGATTCACTAGATGAT